GGGGGGGGTCACTTGGGGCGGGGCCCCGGGGAGGGCGCGGGTTCCGCGCGGGGCGCGGTCCGGTCCGTGCCGGGGCGGGTCCCGGTGCCGGTGCCGCTTCCCGGGCGGGTCCCGGTGTCCATGTCCCCCCGGGCCGCCCCGCCGCGGTTCGGGCCGCTGCAGTTGGCGCTGGCGGCGGCGGGGACGGCGGCGGCGGCGCTGGATCTGTTCATGGACGGGTGGGTGGCGGCGGAGTACGTGCGGCGCGGGCAGCCGGGCTGGGCCGCGCTGTCGCTGTCGCTGCTCGCCGTCGCCTCGGCCGCCGCCCAGGCCTGCAGCTGGCTCTGGCTGCGCTCCGACCCTCCCGCGCTGCGCCCCGCCGTGCCCGCCGCGCTGCTCGCCGCCTTGCACCTCCTGCAGCTCGGCTTCCTCTTCAGGTACGGCAGCCCCGCGCCGGCTTCCCGCGGCCCTCGGGCATCCCCCGGGCATCGCCCCTGCCCACCCCCGGGCATCACCCGGGCAGCCCCTGGGCATCACCCCCTGCCCACCCCCGGGCATCGCCCCCGCTCCGCCCCAGCCTCCCCTCACCCCCCGGCTGCCCCTCACTCTGCTCTGGCAGGGGAGGACGAGGGTCCCGGCCCCCCGCAGCTGCCGGCCTGCCCGGGATGGGGTGAGCGGCGCCCCGGGGACTGGGGGGGGCCGAGGGGCTCCCGGGCAGAGCGGTTCGGCCCAGCCCCGCGGGGGAGCGAGGGGAAATGCGTCGGTGGGAGCCGCCTGTGTCCCTCCAGCTGAAGCTCCCCCGGCTCAGCTCTTGTATCCCGGTGCTGTCGCCGCTGCTCCGGCCAAGCGGAGCAGGGCCCCGAATCCTCGTCTGGGCCTTGGCGCTCCCGGGAGTTCGGGGGACGCGGCGGGGCCTCCCCTGCCGGGGGCAGGAAATGATCCTGGCGGGTCCTCTGAGGGCAGTTCTCTGTCTGACACTTCATGCGTGGCCGGGCATCGCGTGGCTCCTGTGGTGCACGGTTTGGGTAGGGGGAAGGAGGGGTTTGGGTATAAATTGGAGGGGTTTGTTGTCCTGCCGGGGCAGCGTGAGGACCAAGGAGCTTGCATGGCCCCTCACCACTGGCTGGGTCCCCACACAGGTGCCTCTATGCTCTGAAGGTAGGCTGGAAGGTGTGCTGGGCGAAGGCAGAGGAGGAGGAGGAACAGAGACACATGGCCTTCCTCTCCCACGACATCAGCATGCTGCGGCTCTTTGAGACCTTCCTCGAGAACACCCCGCAGCTCACCCTGCTCCTCTACATTATCCTTCAGACAAACAAGGCTGAGATCTCCCAGGGTGAGGAGTCTGGGGCCAGGGGAGGGGGCTGTGGAGGTGCAGGCTTGGGGTCAGAGTGGGCTTGGATGGGACAGACCAGATGGGCTGTCTGGGGGCTGCAGGACCCCACAGGACACTTGTTTGAAGGGTCATTCTGCTCCCATGTCACACAGGAGGGTGAACCCCTGTCCTGCACTCACATGCTGCAATGAACCGTGCTAGGCTCAGGGTGGGAGGGTTGGAGCTGTGACCACTATGGTCATTTCCTTACGTGCCCCAGGAGAGGCTGAGGATCAGGCTGGGGAGCAGGGAGATGCCAGTGTGGGTGTAGGTGGAGCACAGGCCTCCCTGTGTGGGCTCTGCAGGGCTACTCAGTCCCAGCGCTTCTTCTCCACCTTCTGGGCAAGGCCAGCACCAGCCTCCTCCTCGAGGAGGGCAGAAGGCTGAGGGAGAGAGGGGTGCTGAGGCTCTGACCCTGGCAGCAGCAGCTCAGTGAGCGGGGGGGAAGCTCCTTTTAGCAGCACCGGGCAGGGGGAGGTTTGAGCCAGGCTGGGCCCTGCCTCAGTCTCCCCTCAGCATCTCCACCTCTGTTTGCAGGCCTGGGGATCGGCACTGCGCTCCTGTGTGTGTCCTGGTCTCTGCTGGACTACCACCAGTCCCTGCGCTCCTTCTTGCAGGACAAGTACGAGCTGAGCCGGGGCTCCTCCATCATCTACTTCCTGTGGAACCTCTTCGTCATCTGTCCCCGCATCCTGGCAGTCGCCCTCTTCGCCCTGCTCTGGCCCTACGGCGTGGCTGTCCACTTCTCACTCGTGTGGCTGGCCATGTTCCTCTGGGTCAGCCTGCAGGGCACAAACTTCATGGAATCACCTGGCCCTGAGCAGCTTTACCGGGCCATGGTGGCCGTGATCCTCTACTTCAGCTGGTTCAACGTGGCGCAGGGGAGGACATTGCACCGCAGCATCATCTACCATGGCTTCATCCTGGTGGACAGCACACTGCTGGCCCTCTCCTGGCTCTGGGGCCAGGCCCCCTCTGAGGACCACTGGTACCTCCTCCCAGTGGTCTCTGCCACCCTGCCCTGCTACCTGCTGGGACTGGGGCTGAGGGTCACCTACTACAAGTGGCTACACCCCAACATGCAGATGCAGCAGGAAGGTGGCTATGATGAGGTGGATGCCGATGGAGGGAGTGATGGGCCGGAGTTTCGCTCGTTCTCTGAGCCGGACCTTGTGAACAGGCGGATGCAGTGCCTGGCCCAGATCCAGTTCCCTGTCTCCCAGCTGGTACGGCAGCACTTCCTGAATGGGGCTGCTGCCCTCGAGTCTGCTGCCTGAGGGGAACTCCTCCAAAGGGACATGCAGGGGAGGTCTGTTTGTTAGTTGTGGTCCTGGTTCTGCTCCCCTAGGCTGTTGTTTTGGGCAGCTGGAGAGATCTGGCAGGAATGAGTGATGATGTGGAAATGCCCAAGGAGTCCCACGGCACACAGCATGGCTCCCATGGCTGCAGCCTCAAGGAAAGCCACGGTGTTTGTGGCAGGTCCAGCATGGGTGCCATGCTGTGTTAGCTTTCCTTGTTATTTATTATTAGCTTGTTCAAAAGAAAAACCCCCAGAGCAGTGGTTTGTTCTCTCTGTGCCTCTCCTGTGCCTGCTGCTGCCGTTGCTCCGCAGGGATGTGGGAGCTCGTTTCCTCCATGGCTGTGGTTATCTGACCTTTGTTTCCAGAC